CCATGACAAAGTTCACGTGGTCGTCGGAAACATGCACATCGTTTGCGGAAGCAACCCTCCCTGCATTCACACGCGACAGAAAGCAGTTCGGCTGCTCCGACTCCACTTGGACGGGATCGCCGTGCTTCTCAGTGCTGGGGAGCCGGGCAAGCCGGTCGTGCGCCTCGTAGTCGGCGACAACAACTTGACCGCGCAGGAGGCGCGTGGAGCTTTCCAACGCCACACTGACGACGAGGCGTTATGGGAAGTCTTCGCCCCCCCGGCGGACCGCAAAGGCGACAACGTGGCAGTCTGCGGAGCAGTCGCGCGTTTCCAGCCCGTCGCTGTTGGCGCCTCCTACGTGGACCGTGGCATGCGAAACGACGCACACGATGCTGTTGCGGTCGTGCTCACCGTCCCTGATGCTTCTCAGCCTGGGGAGACAAAGAGGCGGAATATTGTCTTCGGAGGATTGCCTGACGCCGACGCCGGCTCAGAGACCGAGGTGGAGGGCTCCTCGGTGCACTGGTCCCAGCCCCCGAGCCCCGCCCCTGTGCATGCACCGCTTTCACCGACGTCACCGGCCGACGCCGCAGCCTGCGACGAGCCCGAGGATGAAGTTAGTCGGCGCGCGCATGAGCTGCGCAAGGAGTTGAGGGAGTATTGGGACCAGAGGTATGACGCGGCCTACGACCCGAAACTCCTCCACCACTTCAGCCTCTTGCTGTTCAAGAAGAGGGCGTCCACGCAGCCTGCGGACAAAGATCCAGCTGGTGCTCCTCAGCCTGGCTCGGACTGTGACACCGCCTTCGCGTCGCAGGCGGAGACTGTCCGAGAGCTGACAGGAAAAAATATCTGACGAGAGCTGGCAGGCGATAGTCAAAACAGAGGTCGTTAGCCCTAGCGGTGCTGGGCAGCCTGCTGCCAGCAGCAGCGAAGCCGCTCAGCCACCTCAATAGGACCCTCGGTTGCGTGCAGCACGAGGCTGGTACGAGTCGGCCTATGAGTGGCGCATCGTCTCTTACGCCATGCATGCACAGGCCAAGCTTGATGCGCACGATGCTGGCCAGCTGCTCTTTTACGTCCCAGCAATCGACAGACCAGCTGCGCGCCTCGCGAAGCCTGATTACGACGAGATGCGCGCGGAGCCCAACATCGGCGCTACCGCAAAAATGCCGGGGCTGCTGCCGCTCTTCGTTGGCATGGAGGTCATCCTGACAGAATCCGTCTTGCCGCCGAAGTATGTCCGTGGCGCGCCAGGCAAAGTGGTAGGCATAGAGCTGCACGCTCTGGAGCCGGTGGAGGGCCGCCCGTCCATTGTCTCGGACGGTGTGGTCGTGCTCTACTACATTCCAAAGGCCGTCTATGTCAAGATCGATGACAGCGATGAACTTTTCTTGAAGGCCGCGCCGGTGACAGCTGGCAGTGCTTCTCAGCCTGCCGGCCCCGACCTGCGCGGAGTGCTCGCGATCACCCCGCAGGCGCGCCCCTGGAAGTTCAAAGCGAAGACAGGTGGCCCGGCCATCGCGGTGTCCAGGACGCAGTTGACCGTGCTGCCCAAGAAGCAGGGGACTCTGCATGGCGTCCAGGGCAAGACGACGGACCCAGGCTTCATCGTGCACTGGGCGTTTCCGCCAGGACTCAAGAAGGAGTCCATTTGGCTTGCCTACTACGTCAGCCTGTCGCGCCCCAGAAGCTTCAACCAACTCTTGAGCCACGGCTTGCCTGACCGGAGCATCATCGAATCCGGCCCCCCGGAACAGATCGCCAAGGCCTTCGCCGAGCTCTTCACGGACAAGATTGCCGCGACGAAGATCGCTTGCGCGAAGGCCCGACAGCAACTGGGATGGCCTGCGCGAGCTTGAGGAGCCATGAGATGCAGGTTGCGTTGTGGCGGTGCTGTTCAGTCTGTCCGTCTGCATTCGCGTGGTGCTTCTCAGCCTGCATGCGCGTGGTGCTTCTCAGCCTGCGCTCGTGTGCAGCTGTGCGCGGTGAGCCTGCGCGTGTCGTGCAATGCTTTTCAGCCTGCGCGTGTCTGCAATGCTTTTCAGCCTGCACGCTTTGCAGCTTCTCCGCTTCGCACGCCGCTCCTCAGCGCGGTCCTCTGAAAAAAGGACAGTCATCATCTCATCGTCGCACTCATCATCGCACTCATCATCATCATTCATTGCCAGCGTTGATAGCAGTGTCTCGTTTTTACACGACTCCCACTATTGATAGCAGTGTCTCGTTTTGACACACTTCCAGCGTTGATAGCAGTGTCTCCTTTTTACACGACTGCCAGAATTCACAGCAAAGTTTCGTTTTGACACACTGCGAGCGTTGATAGCAGTGTCTCCTTTTTACACGACTGCCATTATTGATAGCAGTGACTCGTTTTGACACACTTCCAGCGTTGATAGCAGTGTATCCTTTTTACAGGACTCCCAAAATTCATGGCGGAGTTTCGTTTGGAAACACTTCCAGCGTTGATAGCAGCGTCTCCATCTTACACGACTCTCCCCATTCATAGCAGTGACTCGTTTTGACACACTCCCAGCGTTGATAGCAGTGTCTCCTTTTTACGCGACTCCCAATATTGCGAAGGCCTGACGGCCGGTGCCGCCGACCCTGTTCGCAATGCGCAGCAAGAGATTACGAGGTTGCTCAAGGTCAGCTTGGCTGGAGCCCAGGGGAAGAGGAGTCCCAGGGGGGGGCGTCGTATCTGACCCGGGGGGGGGGTCGCTACCCCCCCCTCCCCTCCCGGCGGGGGAGGAATGAAAGGGAAGGGGCTTCCCTTCGACTCAATTACGAGGTTACTCAAGGTCGGCTTGGCTGGAGCCCAGGGGAAGAGGAGTCCCAGGGGGGGCGTCGTATCTGACCCGGGGGGGGGGGTCGCTACCCCCCCCCCCCCACCCGGCGGGGGAGGGATCAAGGGAACGACTCCCCCCCCTGGAGCCCTCCCGGGGGCGTCGGACCCGGGAGGGGGGGTCAAAGGGGGAAGGGGCTTCCCTTCGACTCAATTACGAGGTTGCTCAAGGTCGGCTTGGCTGGAGCCCAGGGGAAGAGGAGTCCCAGGGGGGGGCGTCGTATCTGACCCGGGGGGGTCGGGGGGGGGTCGACCCCCCCCCCTCCCGGCGGGGGAGGGATCAAAGGGAAGGGGCTTCCCTTCGACTCAATTACGAGGTTGCTCAAGGTCGGCTTGGCTGGAGCCCAGGGGAAGAGGAGTCCCAGGGGGGGGCGTCGTATCTGACCCGGGGGGGGGGTCGACACCCCCCCCCCCTCCCGGCGGGGGAGGGATCAAAGGGAAGGGGCTTCCCTTCGACTCAATTACGAGGTTGCTCAAGGTCGGCTTGGCTGGAGCCCAGGGGTTGCTCAAGGTCGGCTTGGCTGGAGCCCAGGGGAAGAGGAGTCCCAGGGGGGGGCGTCGTATCTGACCCGGGGGGGGGGTCGACACCCCCCCCCCCCCTCCCGGCGGGGGAGGGATCAAAGGGAAGGGGCTTCCCTTCGACTCAATTACGAGGTTGCTCAAGGTCGGCTTGGCTGGAGCCCAGGGGAAGAGGTTTCCCAGGGAAAGGGAAGGACAGAGACGACGAGTACAAAGAGTGACGGAGATGACGGCTCGAACGGAAAAGCCCCTCACACACGCCGACAGGGTCGGCGGATTCATAGCAAAGTTTCGTTTTTTCACTCGTTCACTCCAGCCAACTACAACTACTACTTCACTGTTACCACTGTTTCATCTCTCCTGCTCTTATTGCTACTACTACTGTGACTGTTACTGCTGCTGCATGCCTCCAGCTATGCTTCTACATATCGATGTTAGGTTGCTTTGCCGGGATAATTAGGCTCTAAGAACGTTTCGCGGTAGGACTATAGGAATGCCTGGACGGTCGGTCCCTGCTCAAAGCTCGGCATCGCTCGGACGCGTGCAGTCTTCGTGGGGCCTCTTGGGGGCCTCTTGGAGCCTCTTGGGCCTCTTGGGCGCCTCTTGGGGGCCTCTTGGGGGCCTCTTGGGGGCCTCTTGGAGCTTCTTGGGGCCTCTTGGGGGCCTCTTGGGAGCCTCTTGGTGACCTCTTGGGGCCTCTTGGGGGCCTCTTGGGGGCCTCTTGGAGGCCTCTTGGGAGCCTCCTGGGGGCCTCTTGGGCCATCTTGGGGCCTCTTGCGACCCCCTCAGAAGCGGAAGTGAGCGCTGCCCCCTGAGAAGGATCAAATGACGCCAAAACTTTCGTAAAATCAATGATTTTGCTATGAAGGAAGATGCGCGCGGCCCCCTCAGAAGGCCAAAATGGGGCAAAAACCGTAGTAAAATCAATGTTTTTTGGCTTCAAAGACGAGTTGAGGGGCCAAACTACCCCCCCCCCCCTCGGGACCAGAATCCTCGTGAGGGTCGTCGTTTTTTGGCCCTCCCAGGAGTCGAAAAAGACCCCCTTGCCACCACTCGGCCCGCCCTCTCCAGGTCCAGGGGAGGGGGTGGGGGGAGGGGTAAACCCCTCCCCGAAGGGGAAGATAGGGGGTTAGGGGGTTGAGAACAGAGAGAGCTCCCTAAACCACTCGCGCCCAAAGGGCTGGTGGGATTTTGAAAAGGGATGTGCGCGTCGTGAGGTCGAGAGCCACATTTCGAAAACCACCCGTCGTCCATCTGTGAACGTACGTTGAAGCTTCAGGGTCATAAATGGTGAGAAAGTCTCAGGCGAAACGCCCGGCCCGCCGTAAAATCTGGCCTCGGGGTGTGACAGGGAGAAGTTATGTATGAGGAAAACGAATGGAGATGGAGCAGGAGGAGGAGGAGAAGGAGGAGGAGGACGAGGAGGAGGAGGATGAAGAGGAGGAGGAGGAGGAGCAGGAGTAGTTGGAGGAGGAGGAGGAGGAGGAAGAGGAGGGGGAGGAGAAGAAGGGAGCAGGAGGGAGAGGGGGAGGTGTAGGCGTGCACAGTGGTAGGCCCACGACGGGGATTCGTGGGACGGGCTCCCGGCTGACTCGGAATGAGCGTCGAGGTTCACGCCGCAACGGCTTCCCATATCCGCCCTCATGCGTCGCAGGAGTACCGGGGCGACATACTGGATTCCACCTTGCAGACTCTCAAGCACGCTGCTTCTTTTGCATGTATTGGGTGCAGGAAAGGGGGACGGGGAACGACAGCAGAACATGAGGGATGAGGAGGACTAGGAACTAGGAAGGGGAGGAGGGGGAGAAGGACGAGCGGCGCTACTGGGATTATTTCCCAGATTGCGAGCGACCGCGCTTGCAACATAAGTTGGTCCGCATTGTGAGTAGTGGTTGAGCGCGGCCGCTCTGCATAAGTAGGTTGAGTTAATACAAGTGCCTAGCAGTACAGCAGTGCAGCATTACAGTCAGAGTTATACTCTGTAGCCTTAGATCGCAGGGCAGCAGTAGCAACGCCGACGGGAGCCAACGCCGTGCTGTGGTAAACGCATAATCACAGGCGAGCGCAGCGAGGGAGGGGACAGGAGGGGAAGAACATCGAGGTAAGGGGAGTAGTAGGAGGAGGAGGAATAGGAGGAGGATGATGATGAGGAGGAGGAGGAGGAAGAGGAGGAGGAGGAGGAGGAGGAGGAGGAGGAGTATGTTTTGACATCGACGCGGGTGCTGCCGTCGATACAACAAAGAGATGGTGAGTCCGTCTTGAAGGGTGCGACGCACCACCACGCCTCCGAATGAGCATGACCCCCAACTACACAGATGGGGCCAACCTGCTTGGGTGTGCTCCAGGGACCGGATGCAGACGGAACAGAGCTAGACGGTGGGCGTGTGATTCATCTCTCTCCGTCAGAGCCTGACAAAAAGATGAAACCTGGGAAAGTTGGCACCCCAGGAGCCAAGGCGCGCAACGCAACCATCAAGCGAAGAGGTCGCAACATTGGTACCAGCACTGGCTTTCCTCCGCTGGCCCAAGAAGCGTCAGCAAAGCGCCACGTGCACTCAGACTGAAAAGGCAGAATTTCGAGCCTGTCAATCAGAGGTGGCCCCCGACCCGACCTCTCGATCCTCGCATCATCTCTCCTGGCAGCGGTCTCCAGACAGAGCCTGACCACCACACGACGGAGACAGTCCTCCTCCTCCTCCTCCTCCACCTCCTCCTCCTCCTCGTCCTCCTCCTCCTCCTCCTCCTCCACCTCTTCCTCCACGGGTAGCCGTTTCAGGTGCTCGTGCGCTTCGGCGGCCATCGGCGGCACGTGCTGCCTCCTCGCCCCCTCGCGGCTCGCGCCCCCGTCTCGTCTCGTCTGATGGTGTCGGTGGCTCGGCTTCGATGGGAGCTGGCCCAGCTCCGCGCGGGGCAGCCTGCTCGCATGTCGCCGGCATCCCACTGTGACCGCGTCGTGGTGCGCATCAAGCTTTTTCCTGGGCGCGATGCTCGTGTTCTGATCGGTGCTGCTACTTCGTTGGCGTCCCTTCTCCTTGACAAATGTGGATCATGCCGTGGTGGTCGATCGCGGGCATAAGAGCTCGAATGGCACATCGCATATTTCTCTCACGTATCGTCCTTTCCTTTCCGCTGATGATCCAGTTCTTCATCTTGGACGTGACGACCCCCTTGGTGACGATGACAGTGGGGACGAAGGTTCTGCCGAAGGCGGTCCTGGTCCTGGCGGGAGTCGTGGTCGCAGCGGACGCAGTGATGGAGCTGACGGTGGGCCTGCAGCCAGGAGTCCTCGGCCTCGCCCTCATCGCAACGCTGCTGGTCCTGCCGATGCTCCCGCTGGTCCGCAGGTTCGCGGGCGCAGCTCCATCGAGTTGCCGACGATCCCGCCCTTCACCTTCAACAAGGACGCTCTTGCTTTTCTGTCAAGCCGGTGTGTGGGACTGCGGAGGCCTTCACGCCCGACCTGGTCGCTGCTGCTTCTTCGTCGGTCGGTGCGCCTGATGATGGAGTGACTTCTGGTACTGCAGTTGCTGCTGACACGCGTGGGAATGATAATTGTGGAGTGTCTACGGATCTCATTGAGAGGCTCAATAACTTTCTTGTGGGTCTCCCTGTATTCTGGCGGCCCCGCTCCTGGGGCTGAGGCAGGCGGAGTTGCGGTCGGTGTGGACCGTGATTGTGCTCCTGACCATGATGGCGACGATCCTCCTGCTGCTGGTGACGATGCTCATGCTAGAGCTCTTGCTGAATATGCCCCTGGTCGCGAAGGTGCTCGTGGTGGTGTGGCTGACGTTCTTCGGGTCTTCGAACGTTTTCAACAGGGTCTCTCTCGGTTTGGTGGTGGCCGTATTCGTGCTGCAGAAGGAATTGCTGATGGTGGTGAGCTTGATCAAGTTCCTTGCCAAGCTCATGATGCTTGTGATAGCGGTGCTCATCGTGGTATGGCTGTTATTCCTCTGCGGCGAACTGTCTTCCTCGGGGTCCTCGCCGTGGCCGCGCCCTCCTGTTTTTGCTTCGCTTCCTGGGGGCCTGGATGGTCATGGTGCTACCTGTGACCAGTATGTCTCGCTGCAGCCTGCACGGACGCCTGTTGAGCTCTACATGGCGGCCCGCCCCCCTCCTCGGCGGACGCGGGTGGACTTCGACGAGTGCTCGCAGGGGGGTACGGCCCTGGATTGGTGGGCTGAGTTCTCACAGTGGTCTTGGAAACACATCGAGGGGCAGAACCCGGCCGACCCCTATTGGAGCAAGGCCGCGCTGAGAGCCCGTGCCGTGGCTCTATGTGACTTGAAAGGTGCTGCTGGTGGCCTTGGATGCCCTGCCGATTTTTCGGCTGGCGGCGTTGGATGGTTGGTTCCTCTCCAGCAGCCGGAGGCGGCCAACCTGCCGTGCGACTTCTGCGGGGACGGTGTGCGTACTCTCTGGTGTCAACTAGCCTGTCGTTCCATGATCTCCTTGTGCTGGCTGCACGGTCCGTGGTTCTCCGCCGCTTGTGCCCATGACGTCTGCGCGGCGGCGGCACTGGCCCGCCCCGTGCAGGCCACCGCTTGCGCGCCGTCGTGCGCGCGATCCCCTGGGGGCGAAAAAAAAAACATCGCCCTCCGTCGCGGGTGCGGGGCGAGGGTCAAAGGCGAGATCAGCGCAGAGGTGGAAGTGGGGCTGGTGGGGGTCCGACCCGGAGGTCGGGTCTCCTGGGGCGCCGCCCCGCCGAGACCTTGCCGAGATTTGCCCTGCCACGGGAAGACAAGCGCCGAGGGCAGACTTTGGCAACCCCCTTCTTCGCGAACGCAGCCTGACTGAGGTACGCTCCACAAGCAAGGCAAGAACGGATGTCGGCTCCATCTGACACATGCAGCGCCACCACTTCCCGCCAATTGGCGTGCCCGCAGACTTGGGCCCAGCCCTACAGAAAGAGCGCTTCCTTGGGAGGCCTGGCCACGCCCAGACATGGGGCAACTCGGGGGCCCCATCGGGAGGGCCAGCACGAGGGGCCTTCAAGAGTTCGATCCCATCGAAGCTGGTACGCGGCCAAAGAGGGGGGATCCTGGCCGCCATGCGACACATGGCGACCAACGCGGTCATTGTCGACCCTGCGCTGCTCAGCCTCCGACGGCTGTGAGGGTGGACCCTCGCTCCAAGATTCGCCGTGGCGTCGGCGCGACCGCTTCCCCTGCGTCGAACGCTTCGCTCTTGTTCTCTGGCTCGTCGGGGTCCAAGGGGCGCGCACATGGGCGAGGCGGTTGACAAGACCGCGCGCGCTCGCAGCTTGACATTGGCCAGCGTATCTTCTCTTGAAAGAAGCGCGTTCAGTGTAAGGAAATTGGGACGGACGAGCAGTGGCCATGCAATCCGCGTAAGCACCGCTGGGCCCTCCCAGGCACAATGCTGTCTGACCGAGTGCCGTGATCTCCGCGGCGGGGGCAGTCTGTGGAGGCGGGGCGCACGCGTGTCCCCGCCGAGAACATCTAAGGGTTCCTTCAGGGCTGACCAGGGCAATGCCCCACCCCGCCCTTGACAGTTCATGGGTACGATTTGGCAGACAGCTACTGGCATGAAACAGCCCTCTACCCTGGATCGAGCCATCATCAACCTGACCCCGGTTTCTGGTTTCCCTGGTCACACCACCACCCCCGAACACTTGAGGCCGCGGTCAATAGCCTCCAGGATGCTAGAACAAAAAAGCCCGCGGGTGAACGCGCGCATCTCCCCCCTTCGTGGGGCCCCCTATCATGCTCGCTGGATGGTATGATCCTTTTCCTCCTCGACTTCGGGGCGCGCCCATGCGCGATGATGGGCGCTGTCTTGAAGCCGCTCACAGAGAGTGCGCGGCAAGTTGCCACCTTCTCGCGCGTGGTCGGGCGCGTGGAGGAGGAGTTGGAGGAGGGAGGGGAAACGGAATAGTGAGGGGAGGCGAGGGCGGGAGAGGGGGTGAGGGTGAGGATTGGGAGGGGGATTTGTTTTTTTGGGGGGGCAGTCGACGGAGGAAGAAGGAACGGAGTCGAGAACGAGGGAGGGGGCAAAGGTGAGGAGGACTCGAGTGAGGTTTTTCCTTGGGGGGGGGAAACGGCGGGAGAAGGAGGATGAAGATAATAAGGAGGAATAGGCAACGAAAGAGGAAGAGGAAGGGGCGGTGGTGAGGACGAGAGAGACTGGTGGGGTCAGGAGGAGGAGGAGGAGGAGGAGGAGGAGGAGGATGAGGAGGAGGAGGAGGAGGAGGAGGAGGAGGAGGAGGAGGGAGGAGGAGGAGGAGGAGGAGGAGGAGGAGGAGGAGGAGGCGGAGGGGGGTGATAGGTTTAGCAAAAGGTTTCTGGGCGCTTCCTTTTTTGTTGGCGGGGGTGGTGCTTTGGAGGCCCCTGGTCGCCTCCGAACACCTTCAGGAGCTTTCGGGCACCTCGGGAGGCTGCTGTGGACGTCAGGGCCCTCTGGGGACCAGGGGGGAGGATGAGCAGGAGTAGGAGGAGAGATGGGGAGGGGGAGGAGGAGAGAAGGGAGGGCGAGGACGAGGAGGAAGAAGAGGATGAACAGGAGGAAAGAAGGGAAACGAGGAGGAGGAAAACGAGGAGGACCAGTGGAAACCCAAGACTCATCAACGGTGTTGGTGTAAACCCTGCCCTCAAGCTCCCTCTTCACAGGCTTCAACAAAGGTTCATTCTCACTGAGGGAACTGCCTCGCTGGGAGACATCCGTTTGAAGACCCCGAA